GATGATTAATGTACTAAATTATTGATTAACCAAAATATTTCATTATCTGGTCTTTCTCCACCAATGTTTTTGATATGTATGTGTAAAATACACATTTAATAGGCCTTACGCTATTTCTAAAAGCATAAATGTAGTATTAAAAAAAGAGCAGCTGTTGCTATTAGAACCTTCACTTTATTTTGTTTCCAGTATTAATGTTTAATTATCAGATTGACATATTGGTCTGACTTTAGAATTGGGGAAAAAATAACATTTCAGCATATTCAACAAAGATATTGCAGTAAAGCCCAGCAAGTGAGATTTCTTTTTTTTTTTTTTTTAATATATTTTTATTGATTTTTTACAAAGAGGAAGAGAGAGGGATAGAGAGCTAGAAACATAGATGAGAGAGAAACATCAATCAGCTGCCTCTTGCACACCCCCTACCGGGGATGTGCCTGCAACCAAGGTACATGCCCTTAACCGGAATCGAACCCGGGACCTTTCAGTTCGCAGACCAACACTCTATCCACCGAGCCAAACCGGTTTTGGCTCTTGAAAAATAAAATGTAGAGGTTTTACTAGTTTGAAAGAATATATGCATGCTTATGTTCACTTCAGTGTTATTTACAGTGGTATAGCCAAGATTTGGAAGCAGCCCAAGGGCCCATCCTTAGGTAAGTGGATTAAAAAGTTGTGCTACATCTACACAATAGAATACTACTTGGCCATAAGAAAGAAGGAAATCTTCCCCTTTGCAACAGCATACATGGACTTGGAGAGCATTATGCTAAGTGAAATAAGCCAGTCAGAGAAGGATAAGTACCATATGATTTCATTCATATGTGGAATCTAATGAACTAACAAACAAAATAAAAACACACATAGGTAGAGAACAGACTGACAGCTGTCAGAGGAGAGAAGGGTTGTGGTGCTGAAAGAAACAGGTGAAGGGATAAAATTTTAAAAAAAAATCATAGAGAGACAACAATATGTTGTATTTGATCAGCAGAATGAAAGAGGAGTGCAGAGAGGTAGAAGAGGAATATTAGGGGATAAATGGTGATAGAAGGAGACTTCACTTGGGGTGGTGAACACACAATACAATATATAGATGATATATAATATTATAGAATTGAACACCTGAAACCTATAAATTTTATCAACCAATGTCATCCCAATAAAGTGCATGTTTTTAAATGTAGGGTTTTGTGTTCGTTTTTTTTTTCCAGGTATAAGAAAGTCTAATGAGACACAGATCATTTCTACCTTTACACTGTCCCCAAATCATATAATTTCATTCCCACAAGGAGAAGAATCACATCTCGACACAGTACACAAAGGTGAGAACCAAGAGTGTCTACCTCAGGTTACTGGGGAGGCTGACCCACCAGGCCATGTAGGACACCAGGCACACAAAGCCTCCCTACCAACTCAGGGAAGCAGCGAAAATGGCCGACACAAGGAAACAGCTCTCAAAAGAAAGAAATGGAAGAGAACAAAAGACGAGATATAGAGTTCAAAACCATGGTTATAAGGTTCTTCAAGAATTTCCTAGAAAAGGAAGATAAATTTAATGAGACCCTCGAGGATATGAAAAAAAAACAACTAGAAATTAAGCATACACTGACTGAAATAAAAAATACAGAGACCCAACTGCAGACTAGAGGATCACAAGAATCAAGTCAAAGATTTGGAATACAAGAGGCAAAGGACACTCCTCCGAAGCAAGAAGAGAAGAGAATCCAGAAAGTTGAAGACAGTGTAAGGAGCCTCTGGGACAATGTCAAGCATACCAACATCCAAATTATAGGGGTGCCAGAAGAAGAGAGGGAGCAAGTTACTGAAAACCTATTTGAAGAAATAATGACTGAAAACTTCCCCCACCTGGTGAAAGGCACAGACTTACAAGTCCAAGAAGTGCACAGAACCAAAAAAAAAAAAAAAAAGAAATCCAATAAGAACCACACCAAGACACATCATAATTAAAATGCCAAGAGCAAAGGACAAAGAGAGAATCTTAAAAGCAGCAAGAGAAAAACAATTAATTACCTACAAGGGAGCACCCATACAACTGTCAGCTGATTTCTCTACAGAAACTATGCAGCCCAGACAGGAGTGGCAAGAAATAAAACAAAGAACTTCACAGAGAGAAAAAAAGCTAAAGGAGTTCATCACCAACAAACCAGTATTAAATAAAATGCTGAAAGGTATTCTTTAAGAAGAGGAAGAAGAAAAAGGTAAAGATAAAAAATATGAACAACAAATACATGTTTATCAACAAGTGAATCTAAAAATCAAGTGAATAAAAAATCTGATGAACAGAATAAACTGGTGAATATAATAGAATCAGGGGTAAAGAAAGGGAGTGGATTGATAATTATCAGGGGGAAAGGGCTGTGGGGGTGCAGGAAGAGACTGGACTAAAATTGTACACCTATGGATGAGGACAATGGGGAGGGGAAGTAAGGGCAGAGGATGGGTTGGGAACCGGGTGGAAGGGAGCTATGGAGGGGAAAAAGGATAAATAATTGTAATAATCTGAGCAATAAAGATTTATTAAATAAAAAAATAAAGTTCAGTTGAACATTAAAAAAAAAAAAAGCCAAAACCGGTTTGGCTCAGCAGATAGAGCATCTGCCTGCAGACTGAAGAGTCCCAGGTTCGATTCCGGCCAAGGGCATGTACATTGGTTGCGGGCACATCCCCGGTGGGGAGTGTGCAGGAGGCAGCTGGTCAATGTATCTCTCTCTCATCGATGTTTCTAGCTCTCTATTCCTCTCCCTTACTCTCTGTGAAGAATCAATAAAATATATATATATATAAAAAAAAAGAATTACATCTCACTGTCGGCCATGCAAATGTCTGTTTAGCAATATATTGGATATATAAAGTTGTACCTGGAATCTTCACATTTGTCCCCATGTGTATCCAATTAAATCAAAGTATAGTTTAAAACCCAAAACTAGTTATGTGAATTTTAACTTTTCCTTCTAATTAATCCAAAATCAAAACTATTCATTCTGATAACTTACAATTTAATCTGTCTAAACAGTTAATTAAATATTTTATTTATAATTACAATTAGACCACACCCTTTCTCTCTTAATAGCTATTATATCCTCTGTTTCCTGTAAGTCTCTTCAAGCAGAAGTATTTGCTAAAAGATAATAGTCTGCTCATTAAGTAAGCATATTAAAAAAGGCAATGGTCTGCAACTACTGACACTGACATCTATCTATTTCTCTCTTGGGTTACATAAAAGCATTTCTCTGGCTATGTTCCCAAATAAATTGAGTAAGCCTTGAGAAAGACACTGCTTAACTTCCATTTCATGACGGCTTCTCTTCCTCCATAAATGAATTATTGAGAGCCATGCCTACTTCCATCCATCATATAATACATGTCCATCAAAGGACCTATTTCTGAGCAAGAAATAGCTTACCTGACAGATAGTTAAGGTCAGTGAATACTGTAACCTCACAGGGTGCAGGAATCCATAAAGGAAGATTCTGATTTAATGTGCTAAGTTGTGAAACAATGATTCGAAGAACATTGAACACTGTTTACTCTTAGAAATATCTCCCTATGAATTGATACATGCCCCTAATATGTTATTAAAGGGCATTTTTAAAGCACTTGATTCCAAGAACATTTCTCAGAAATTGAGAGGGGTTTTTTTTGTTTGTTTGTTTTTGTTTTAAATATATTTTATTGATTTTGTACAGAGAGGAAGGGAGAGAGATACAGAGTTAGAAACATCGATGAGCGTCATCGATCAGCTGCCTCTTGCACACCCCCTACTGGGGATATGCCCGCAACCAAGGTACATGCCCTTGACCGGAATCGAACCCGGGACCCTTCAGTCCCCAAGCCGACGCTCTATCCATTGAGCCAAATCGGTTTTGGCAGAAATTGAGAGGGTTTACGGAAAAATTATTCCGCTTTATTTTGAAAGTGTCTAATAAAGAAATCTGCAACAAAGAAGTAAAAATAATTGTGTTGAACACACAATGTCTAATGTCAATGTCTATTGTAAAACAAGCTATAAAGGGCAGATGTACTTAAAACATTTAAATATTTTTCATATAATTAACTCGGAGAGAACTGATCAAATTGTTCATTTCATCCACCCAAAGCAGTCAACCACAACCACCTGCAACTGTTTTTGTACCCAACAAAGTGTCTTCCAAAGCAACCATCCTCAGGCCTTCTCGTAAGGGGCCAGGATAGAGCTTGTAAATGAGGTGGTAAAAAGAGATCTTTTTGGCAAAGAAAAAAGACTGGAAGGTAACATCTTTACGGATCTAAGTGTAATGAGACCTATTTCCTTAATATTGCTACCTGAATGAAGATCTCACTCTTCTTGAAGAGTGTAAAACTTCAAACCCATCCACGCTCACAATTTACCCATCCCGAGCCAACGCAGAGGAATTCTCTTCCCTCCCAGACCCTCCGATCCACTCTGTCGGGGGGGAGGGGGGGGGAGGAGGAAAATAACCAAAACCCTAAAGCAAGAATGTGAGACCTAGTGCAATAGCTTCTCCAGCTGCCTCAAAGGTAACATCCACAGCTCATCTTCCTTTTGAAACACAGCCGGTTCGTCTCCCATCTTCCAATTTCCCAGAAGGAAAAAAAAAGGAATCCTTATCTCCTTCAACATTTTACATCCATCACCCAAAGCCACACATCTGCCCTGACCGCACCCCAATCTCCGCAGGGCTCCCCAATGTCTCTCCCTCGCCCGCAACATCACGTCTCACAAACCTCCCCACCCCGGTCCTCCCAGCGCCCAGAGCTCCGTCTCCCACCCGCCGGCCCCGGGCTCCGCACATCTGCCTCCGCTCCCGCCCCACGCCGGGCCGGGCTGGGTGGAGCCGCCGGTGGGCTGAGGTGGGTGAAGGTGGGTTGAGATGGGTTGAGGTGGGGTGGGGTGGGGTGGGGTGGGTCCGCCCCTCCCCAGACTTCCCGGTCCCCCAGGCGGGGACCAGGAGGAACCGGGAGGGGGGGCTAAGCCTCACCTACGGCTCCGCCCCTCCCCGGGGGGCGCGCTGCCCTGCCCGCGCCAGGGCCCTGAGGAAGAATCTGGGCAAGAAAAGGCACAGCCTCGGGGCCAGCGACAGCCGGGAAGCTCTAGGTTCCGCCCGCTTTCCGAGCTGCCCCCGGCCGCCGTCTCACCGGCTTAGGGGTGCTGCTGTTGCTGCCGCTGCCGCTGCCGCTGCCGCCGCCCCGGCGCCGCCACCGCCGCCGCTTCAGCCACAGCCACAGCCACAGCCACAGCCACAGCGCGGCCCGGGCCCGCCGACGTCACCGCCCCGCCCAGCGCGAGTCGCTGGACCCGCCCCCTCTCGGCCCCGCCCCCCGCGGAGCCACCTCGGTGCCCGGCGCCCTCCGGGGCCGCCCCTCCACAACCTGCAGGCCTCAGGCGCTTTCCGGGGAAAGGCGGGTGAGGGGCCCGGGAGGGGGATGACTCAGGCCCCGCGGCGGCTCCGCGAAAGCTGAGTCACGGGCGCGGAGGGGCGTCCACACGCCCACGCGCGGCCCCTGCGGCCCCGGGGGCGCAGAGCCGGCGCCACCTCGGGAAAGCGGCCGTAGGTGGGAGCGGGGAGAGGCGGCGTTTGTCTCCTTCTGCTTCCCGTAGGACGCGGACCGGCCGGGCCCCGAGGAGCGGCACGCGGCCTTCCCAGCCTCGGAGTGGCCCCACCCCTTCGGTGGCCGGGCCCGTTACTCGGCCGCCGCCGGGGAGCGGATCTAAGGACACCCTTTGTCGGAGGAAAGCTTTCACTCCATCCGTAGTTTTTGCGAAATGTGGCTCCGGAGGTAGTAATGTGATCCGGGTCTGAGAAACAGCCCTGGGGGAGGAACGTAGGTGTCGCGGGAGACCCGGGCCTGTGTAGGTCGTTCTCCTTAGAGCTGATGACGGCAGAGAAGCGCGCGGGCGGAAATCCATGTCCACAGGCTGCCCCTGCGAGGTGCCAGGTACCCAGCTACGAGGTCTGCCTTAGTCCAAGCCAGGGTTGTGTCACGCAACCCTGTGCTCCTGTGCGGCATCGCAGTCGCGTTTCTTTTTTTGGAGCCATGCAGAGGGTGACTGCATCCACTAATTTAAAGATGTATCTCTAAACCAAGAATGTCAGAGTGATGTGAATTATATTGATTCCCAGCCTTCTAGTATTTATTAAAATATTTAAAATACTCTTGAATTAAAATAAATAAAATACCCTTGAAAGTTGAATTTTCATTTTACTTCCTCTTACTCTCCCCCAACACCATTAACCAGTTTAGCACTGCCTCATAACGCGACTACATTTTCCCATCTCTCCTCAGTATTCACGTTCATTCATTCATCAAATCCTACTGGTTCATTCTGCCCAGGCTCTCGAATTGTTCCCTCCCAGGATCATTATTGCAGCTTCTCATCCTGTGGTATAGTCGCCCCCTTCAGTACATTCAACATATGGCTGCCAAATGTTAGACTGCCAAGTAAGCACCCTAAAATATTTCACTTCTTGAACATCTGTCTATTTACCCAGGAAAAGCCATCCCGTAACTGTCTTTCAAGAGAAGTTAATTATTATATCTTCTTAATTCCCATTCTGCCACTCTACTTGTGTTACCTTGGAAAATCGTTTTACTTATAAGCTCTCCTTTTCTTAACTGTAAAATGGGGTGTGAACTATATGTCTAAGATCCATCATGTCCCTAAAATGTGTGGATCTGGAGAGTTAAGATGCTAAACGCTAGGTTATTCATACACAGGAATACTACCAAGATCACAGACTAAGAATTTTGTCTTTGTTATTTGGGGTTTTTGTTGTTTTTCTGCCATTCCACAGGTGGTTTTTCTTTCCTACTCTGACCCCAATTGGATTTATTAAAGCTGGCTAACTGAGCACATGCAGTCATTACCTCTTCTTCCTGAGGCCCCATTAAAATACTTGGAATTTAAAAATCATACAAACCCATACAAAATAGAAAATGGGAAGGGGCCCCATAATTTTTCTTTTTTAGCTTGGTACACCAAAAGTAAGTTTAGTCTGACTAAACAAAATGGAAGAAACCATAATGTGTAATAGGTACACGTCAAGGTGCTGCAGCCAAGGAAGGGGCCTGTCTGCCAGAAGTGGTTTAGAGAAACAAATTTGGCGACAAGACATCAAGAGTGAGAAGTGTGTCTGAAAACAGGGAAACTAAATAAAGGTCTGTATGCGGAACAGCGCAATAGTTAAGCATTTATCCCAGGCTAAAAATCAAGAGTTCTCATACTCTCTGGGGAGGAACCTGGGCAGCTATTTGAGCATTAATGACTAAGGGTAAAGCATTCTTCATTCTGGCACAATAGCCCATTTCCTACTCACTCAACCTAGAGTAAACTTGTGCAAGTTTGCAAGACCCTGTTAAGTTCACAACATTCCTAATCAACATTCCAACTACCTCATCTTAAATATTAACAAACAATCAAGGATTATTAGATATTTAAAGAAAGTCTCCAACTTGAGGGGTGAGAGAAAGATAAACAGAAAATGTAACCACAGAAGAAACACAAAAACACCAGAGAAGTTTAATTAGTATGTTCATAGACATGACATTTATGAAACAAGAATAGTATATTCAGATGAAGAAACAGTCCAAAAATAGAAAGTAGGTCTTGAAATTAGAAATAAGAAATTGCCAAAATTATAAATTTACCTTAACTATTAAAAGATAAAGAAATTTTTAAGAAAATAAAAGAAATATGCAATTGTAATTTAATATTAAATTTATATATTCATTATATAATATAATATATACAGTATATTTAATTTAAAGAAAATAGAATACACTTATTGCAAGAGAAAAATACAAGAATTTGCAACTTTATATTATACAGTACTCATGTCAACAACCAGCTATCACATCCATTCATGCCTAACTTATCCAATACCGACATTTATTAAGAATTAAATATACGCCAAAACCGGTTTGGCTCAGTGGTAGAGCGTCGGTCTGCGGACTGAAAGGTCCCGAGTTCGATTCCAGTCGGGGGCATGAACATTGGTTTCGGGCACATCCCCGGTGGGGGGTGTGCAGGAGGCAGCTAGTCGATGTTTCTCTCTCATCGACATTTCTAGTTCTCTATCCATCTCTCCTCCTCTCTGTAAAAAATCAATAAAATATATATTTAAAAAAAAAAGAATTAAATATACTCATGGCGGCGGGACACTCTGGGTGCTGAGTGGCGCCTGGGAGCCGGCACTTCCTAGGGGGCGCTTGCTCGTCCTCGAGCCCATCCTGGCCAGGTGCCCGCCGGGCCCGAGGTCTGCCGACAAGGTGCTGCCTCGTGGCCCGCGGCCTCTGCTGCCTGTACGAACGGAGGCTCCACCATGGCCCAGCAGAGAGCCTTGCCGCAGAGCAAGGAGACGCTGCTGTAGTCCTACAACAAGCGGCTCAAGGACGACATCAAGTCCATCATGAACAACTTCTCCGAGATCATCGAGACCGCCAAAATTGAGGACGAGACGCAGGTGTCCCGGGCCACTCAAGGCGAGCAGGACAGTTACGAGATGCACGTACGCGCCGCCAACATCGTCCGAGCCTGTGAGTCCCAGATGAAGCTGGTGTCTGATCTCAAGCAGTTTCTCATCCTGAATGACTCCCGTAGGTGAACGAGGCCATCGACCAGCGCAACCAGCAGCTCCGGGCGCTGCAGGAGGAGTGCGACCGCAAGGTCACCACCCTGCGGGACGAGGTCTCCATCGACCTCTACGAGCTAGAGGAGTACTACTCGTCCAGGTACCAATAGGCTGCACCCGGACCGCGGCCCGCAGCCCTCAAGCTCCTGTGTTTCCAAACCCTGCCTGGTCCCGCAGCAGAGCCCGGGCCGGTGTCAGAGCGCACCTCCCGGGCAGAGCGTTGAGCGTTCAACCAACAGACACTTCCCGCCCACCGGGCCCTGGGCCCTGGGGCCAAACTCACAGAGCTTCCAGGCTTGGGAGGCCAGAGTCAGTGTTCCAGCCCAGGGTGTCCTGCCTCTCTTTGGACCTGCTGTCTGAGGCGGGACTAGTTCCTCATGGCCGCCCAGGCTCTGCCCAGGGTGCCACTGCTTACCCCCCGAGGTGATTCCATGTGGGCATCACCTGGCGCCCACGCTGTGCGGAAGGAGGAGGGGAAATCCCAAAGAGCGGCTCAGCCTTATCCCCAGAGCCAGAGTTCCCTCCATGCCAGGCCAGGCTGTGCGCAGGGATACAGCAGTGGGCGCAGCCCATCACCCAGCCCCCGTGGGGCCCTTTAGAATCCTGAAACCTGAGGCCTTTGAGAAATCCCAGTCCTCGTGTAACTTTGCGGGGGAACCGAGCCTGGGAGCCTTATCCTCCGTTCCCGTTAGCTTGTCCGCAGAGCTGTCCCTCCAGGGGCAGGTTCCCAATGCTCCTTGGGAGCCATGCAGGGGCCACGGAGGCCCAGAGCCAGCGTGCCCTGTGGTCTGGGGCTTGATTCCCGGCCTTGGGTTCAAGGTCACCGGCATGGTCCCGCCCAGTATCACTGGCCTGCTGGAGTGGTTCTAGACTTTTCCAGAGTGTCTGGGCCGCCTCTGGTCCCTGAGACCCTTCGGCTCAGCAGACTTGTGGAATTGTCTCCTAAGACACCGGCCTTCAGAGAAGGGTCCGGAGTGGGTCCCAGAGGGGGAGCTCAGACCCTGCTGGAGACATAGCCCGGTCACACTGGTTTGGTACAGTCCCTTCGTGTACCCATCATCCCCAAGGGCCAGGCTCTGGCCTGAGTGGCTACAGAGCAGCGATTCGGCCCTGCCTGCCTCTGGAGGGTGAGGCCAGGAGAAGCGGACCTGCCCAGGTCACTCGGTAGGGCCTGAGTGCCAGGCTCACCCACAGGAATCCTGGGCCTGCTCGGTGGCCCCTCGGCATCCCGAGTTCCTCCCTCATCCGTGATGCCCCGTGCGGGCTGTGTACCCTCCTTGCTTAGCCCCCGACATGCACCCACCTGAACCCCCAGTGCTCAGCCCCCTCCGCCCTCCGCAGCCCCGCTCGCCCACCTCGCTCCGCTGCTTTCCACTCATGATTTTCTGTTTGTCTGCCTCTCCCTCTGCTGTCCTTGGGCCACTGCTTTGTGACCAGGATGGTTTCTGAGACTGAACGCTGTGGGTGGAGCGAGGGAGCAGCCACAGGCAGGGCAGGACGGTCGGGAAAAGGGCCGTCAGCCCCCACACCCCGTGAGCTGTGCTCTCCCCCTGCACCCTCACCCGCTTCCACAGTGTGATAGAGAGGTGGGGTGCAGGACGAACACCAGGGCCTCTGTTCCTGTCACCGTCCAGGCTCTGCCCCAGCCAAGGGCAGACCCAGAAATAAGACGGGGTCTCTGCCTCAGGATTCTCGCCAAGTGTAGGAGCCGGAGCCACGGGCTCTTAATGCTGGCTGCCACTACTGGTGAAGTTGGCTGCGCCCCCGCACGTGATGGGGTGGCAGCAGGCGCTAGAACAGCCAAGTGACAGACAGGGCGGACACCTGCTAGATCAGCAGAGGGACCTGCTGGGGCCACACAGACCTGCATGGGCTGGTCCTGGACACATACCTCCCTTTGGGAAGCTGAAGGACCTTTCAGGGGGTCCCCATGTACCTCCCACTCAGCCAGGCCTGCTTGAACGAGTGCCCACCCAGAGGGGAGAGGCAGGTCTGGAGTCCTGTCTGTTTTCTTAACTCTGCTCCTGTGTCGCTTTCCCTCCCCGGAACCCCTCTGCCTGCTCCTGTCTCCTCCGGCTTCTGCTGGTGGAAAAGCTCCAGTCTCTGCCAAGCTAACGATCTGCCCCTGTACGAAGCTTACTGGAGGCTGCGACACAGACGCTGCTGATGGCCTCGTGGCCCCGCTGCGGGCCTCCCCAGAGCCCAGTGCTGGCCCCCTGCAGGCTGCCACTGCCCACTCCCACGCTAGCGGGCCTGGCCCCACAGAGCGTGCCTGCGCCTCTCCGCTCTCTCCACCAGCCCCTGGGATCTTAGGAACAAAGTCTGGCGCCCTGCTCGGCCTTGGCTTCTGCTGGGGAGCTGCTGTGGCCTCCTTGGGAACCCCGTCGGCCCAGAGACAGCTCACCCAGGAGTGTGGAGGGAGAGTAGTTCCCCCCATTTCCAGAGTGGCCCACTCTTCCTGGAGTCGCCTGCATTCACTACCTTCCGGGCTGCTGGGTGGAAGGAAGTCTAACAGCAGGCAGACAGGATGCTGGGACCCGAGCCTGCTGTTTAAAGTGGAGAGGGGGCTCTGCATGGACAGCCCTGGCCAAGTCCACACCAGACCCCCTGTGCAGCCACCATGCCGCCTTGCCCCGAGAGTCCCTGCAGAGCTGGGGGTGAGGGTGCTGTGGTTCACCAGAGCCCGTGGCAGGGCCTTCCTGGTTCTGCAGCACACGTTCTGGTGGTTCATCTTTTGGGCCAGACTGCTGAATAAAAACAGCACTGCCTGTGGGGGGAAGGGGGAGAATTAAATATACTAAAATGTTCATTATCAGCTCCTTACTCTGGATTGAGAAAACACAAATTTGCCGCATCCTATGACAATTGAAGGTTGAATGTAATATGCTATCCTATGCCAATATTGCATTGCTGATAAGGTTCCCTATTTCACTGGAGCTCTGTATTTTTAGATATGAATAAAAAAACAAGTCTTAATTTCTCATGTGTATAAATTTAGGTGATTTTAGACAAAAATAAAATATCCCAAATCTATTTTCTAGTTTTCTTTGAACATGTATCTAAAAAAAAAATATTTGGATATGTAATGAAATTACATCACGATAAAAATAAAAAATTTGCTCTGGCCGGTTTGCTCAATGGATAAAGCATTGGCCTGCAAACTGAAGGGTCCCAGGTTCAATTCCGGTCAAAGGCACATGCCCTGGCTCAATCCCCAGTAGGGGGTGTGCAGGAGGCAGCCAATCAATGGTTCTCTCTCATCATTGATATTTCTAGCTCTCCCTTTCCCTTCCTCTCTGAAACCAATAAGAATATTTTAATAATAAATAAATAAATGTTTTTAAAAGAATATAAGAGAAAGAGTCAAACCAGCAGGACTAATATTATAAGAGAAAAAGAAAACAAACTAAGTAAAGTACAGAAAATATAATGGAAGAAAATATAATGGAAGAAAATTTCCCAGAACTGAAAGCATCTACTAGTACAGGACACAAACAGAAAAAAAACCCTGTAAAATATTGTAACTAAAGATAAAGAAAAGATCCTAAATTTCCAAAAAAGGAAAAAAACGTGACCAAGATGGCTTTAGAATTGTTATCAGCAACACTAGCTGTCTATACTAATAAAGATTAATATGCTAATTAGGCCAGGAGACCTTCGGGAGACCTTCCGGACAAAGCCGGGGACTTGGCTGGCCTATAAATTGCCCCCAGAGGGCCCTCAGCCCCTTGCCCAGGCAGGTCCACACCCTGATCCAGGACCCCTTTCAGGGCAGACCAGCTGGCCCCCACCAGGCCCCTATACTAATAAAAGGGTAATATGCTAATTAGACCAGGATACCCTCCAGACATCCTTCCATGGTGGTGGGGCCAAGGAAGAGGTGGTTAGGAGTGATCAGTCCAGGAGGGGAGGCAGTTGGGGGTGATCAGGCTGGCAGGTGGGGCAGTTAGGGGTGAGCAGGTTGGCTCCCAGAGTGGTTAAGGCCAATCAAGGAAGCAGGTGAGTGGTTAGGAGCCAGTGGTCCAGGATTGTGAGAGGGATGTCCGACTGCCGATTTAGACCCAATACCACAGGAATTGGGCCTAAACCGGCAGTTGGATATCTCCTGAGGGGTCCCAGATTGGAGAGTGTGCAGGCAAGGCTGATGGACACCTCCCCCCACCTTGCATAAATTTTGTGCACTGGGCCACTAGTGAGATGGTAATTGACAAAGACCTTTAAGTTTCTGAAGGAGATATTTCTTGAATTTCAAATTCTTAGGGGAGAAATTTTTTTAACTCTTTCTACTGCATTATCATTATGTAAAAGAGCAGAATGAAAACATTTTCAGATATGGCGGGACTCATGAAGCTAAACTCCCACATATCCTTTTTTTTAAAAAAAGTTACTTGGAGATGTACTCAAACAAACTGAAGTAGAAAATACAAAATATCACCAAAATTGGATTGGCTCAGTGGATAGAGTGTCGGCCTGTGGACTGAAAGGTCCCGGGTTCGATTCTGGTCAAGGGCATGTACATTGGTTGCGGGAACATCCCCAGTGGGGGGGGTGTAGGAGGCGGCTGGTTGATGTTTCTCTCTCATCGATGTTTCTAGCTCTCTGTCCCTTTCCCTTCCTCTCTGTAAAATATCAATAAAATATATTTCTAAAAAAAGAAAAAAAAATGAAAATACAAAATATCCAGGAATCACTAAATCTAATTCAAGAGGTCCCAAGTCCTAGGCTAGATTGGAATGGAAGGATAGAAGTACTGGGAGAGAAATCTGGAAAAAAAGAAAAAGAAAAAAGAAGAATTTGACTGAATAGTTCAATACTGTAATAAAAAGCTTAGAAAATGTTGTTTTCTGGTATTCAACTTTTAGGTCCAACATATTAATAAGTTATATGAATGTTGACCGTAGCCTAACTTCTAAATGAAAAGAAAAAGGGGAATGAAAAGTATCCCACTCCTCACTCTGGCAACCACCCTTCTATTCTTGTCTCTCTGATTTGGGGAAATGAAAAAGTTCTAGAGATGATGATGGTGATGGTTGCAGATCGATGTGGATATACTTAATGCCATACAACTATGCACTTAAAATAGTTGAAAGAGTAAATTTTATGTTACAGTATGTATATTTTACAAGTAAAACTTTTTTATAAAAATATATTTTTATTGATTTCAGCGAGGAAAGAGAGGGAGAGAGAGAGAGAAATATCAATTATGAGAATCATTGATCAGCTGCCTCCTGCATGCCCCCTACTGGGGATCAAGCTCACAACCCAGGCATATGCCCTTGACTGGAATCGAACCCGGGACCCTTCAGTCCGCAGGTCAATGCTCTATCCACTGAGCGAAACCGACTAAGGCAAATAAAACTTTTTTTATCTTTTGTACTTGGAGGGCAATGTTTTAGACCACATGTGTCAAACACAAGGCCCACAGGCCAAATCTGTCCCGCCAGGCCTTGCAATGTGGCCCGCACCACGCTGTCATCACTGCACTCCGCTGCGTTTCCATCACAATGACAGTTTATGACTGTTCAGTAAACCATTCGGCCCGCGATTTAGGCTGGATTTTAGATTTTGGCCCCTTCTCTGATTGAGTTCGACACCCCTATTTTAGACTGAATTGTATTCCTTCAAAATTCCATGCCCTTTCCCAGAGAGCTTCCGAGTTGGTGAATACATGGCCTGTGAGGAAAGTGGTATGCCGGTCATGGGAGCTCTTTCCCCTATGTGTCTCCTCCATCTGGCCTTCCTAGTTATATTCTTTTGTAACAAACCAGTAATCTAGCAATTAATTTTTATTTGTGTTCTGTAAGCCATTATAGCAAATTAATTGGCTCCAAGAAGGGCACTGTAGAAACCTTTGATTTGTAGTCAGTTGTTCAGAAGTACAACCTGGACTTATGATTGGCATCCTGAGTTGGAAGAGACCATTGGAGCCTCCAATTGTAGCCAATTGGTCAGAAGCACCAGTAGCAACTTGCCCTTGAAACTGGCATCTGAAAAGAAAGGGAGGTACAATGCAGTGGGCCTGAACCCTTAATCTGTGGGATCTGATGCTATCTCCAGATAGTGTCAGAATTGAGTTGAATTTAAGACACTCAACTGGTGTCTGGAGAACTTCTCTTTGATGGTGTGGGAAAACCCACTTTTAGGTATATGGCCAAAAGAATTTAAAGCATATGCCCACACAACAATACAGAAAAAAAAAAAAGAAAAAAAAGGTATATGTGAATGTTATATATGTGAACAGCATTTTCTAAGCTTTCAAATAATGAAACTAAATAATGAACACATAACTTTAAATGAATTGCTCTCTTGCAAGAAAATAAAGAAGTTGTCCTCAAAGATTCTGACTTGTAAACAACAAATATTTATCTCTCACTGAGTTGGAATTTGACAGCTGGAAGAAGAGGCAGTCCGCTGTTGTGGCTGTGCTCTAGATACAAGTCAAGTTCAAGTCAGTTCTACATGTCTCACAGACAAGGACCCAGACTAAAGGAGCAATAGTCACCTGGTTATATTTTCTCATGGCGAAAAGCAAGCACACAAGAGGCTAAGGCACAAAAACTCATTTGAAGCCGCTGCTCAGTTGTGCCATAAACCCTATGTGCTCACATTGCATGAACCACAGCAAGTCCCATGGCCAGATCCAACATAATGTTGTGGGAAAGTATAGTCTTCTTATTGAATAGAGGGAGGGAATAAACAAGGGAAGGAAAAAACATGTCCTTACCTTTAAGAAAACTTTCTAAAAATTATGCACACCACTTTAGCTTATATCCCATGGTAAAAACTTTGTACATTCCTTGCCCAAGGGCAGATTGAAAAACTAGCCTTTATTGTGGATGGTCATGTACCCCGTTAAAATGAATAAGTTCTATTACTAAAATAAGAATAAAATGGCTATTGAGAAACAACTAGCAATCTCTGCCACAGCTTCTAAAAAATTACTAAAATTTAAAAACTTAATAGACACATTAGATACACCTGAAGAACAAATGAAGTGGAAGATATAGCTGAAGAAACTATCTGGAATGCAACATAGAGGGACAGAAAGATTGAAAAAGAGCCCTAGCTGGTTTGTCTCAGTGGACAGAGCATCAGCCAGTCCGGGTCCGATTCCGATCAAGGGCACATGCCTGGGTTGCAGACTTGATCCCAAGGAGGGAAAGTGCAGGAGGCAGCCAATCAATGATTCTGTCATCATTGATGTTTCTCTCTCTCTCTCTCTTCCTCTCCCTTTCTTTCTGAAATCAATAAAAAATGTATTTTAAAAAAAGAAGAAAAAAGAAATGGCCAGCCAGAGTTGCTCAATGGTTGAGTGTCAACATATAAACCAAGAGATCATGGTTCAGTTCCCAGTCTGGGCACATGTCTGAGTTGTGGGCTAGATTCCCAGTGAGGGTGTGCAGGAAGCAGTCGATCAATGTTTCTCTCTCCTCATTGATGTTTCTATCTCTCTCTCTCCCTTTCCTTTCCTCTCTGAAATCAATAAAAATATATTGGGGAGGGGGGGAGGGAAATGACAGAAAGAAAAGGCACTTTCCTAATTTAAATCTATTTAGAGTCCTAGAAAGAAAATTGAGAGAATGGAAGTAAACTTACATTCATACGTAATGGGTGAGGACTTTATCCAAACAATAAAAGATGTAAGTCCACACACAGATCAGGTATCACTAAGAGTACTACTCAGGATCAGTAAAAAGAAATTCAACCTTGATACATTGTAGTGAAATTAAGAACATAATCAACAGATATTTTTTTGACAACGCATCTTCAAATCGGTTATATATTAGTTTTC